AGCACATACACCAGCACATACACCAGCACATACACCAGTACATACACCAGCACATACACCAGCACATACACCAGTACATACACCAGCACATACACCAGCACATACACCAGCACATACACCAGTACATACACCAGCACATACACCAGCACATACACCATACACCAGCACATACACCAGCACATACACCAGCACATACACCAGCACATACACCAGTACATACACCAGCACATACACCAGCACATACACAGCTCCCCCATCAAACAAAATACACGAAAATACTGTTTATACATTTATCATTAATATATATATATATATATATATATATATATATATATATATATATATATATATATATATATATATATACACACACATATAAATAATTTTATTTCATAGTAATTCACTTCCAAACATGAAATAATCCACATTAATAACGCCTTGCCTCCTCTCAGTCCTACTGTGGTAGGGAAAACATGCAGTTATCATTTCACATTTATATAACGCTATGAAGGTGTGCAATAATGTCTCCTGCGCCAATGTTGGAGTAACCATAGTGCTCAACACAGTGTTGGAGTAACCATAGTGCTCAACACAGTGTTGGAGTAACCATAGTGCTCAGCACAGTGTTGGAGTAACCATAGTGCTCAACACAGTGTTGGAGTAACCATAGTGCTCAACACAGTGTTGGAGTAACCATAGTGCTCAACACAGTGTTGGAGTAACCATAGTGCTCAACACAGTGTTGGAGTAACCATAGTGCTCAACACAGTGTTGGAGTAACCATAGTGCTCAACACAGTGTTGGAGTAACCATAGTGCTCAACACAGTGTTGGAGTAACCATAGTGCTCAGCACAGTGTTGGAGTAACCATAGTGCTCAACACAGTGTTGGAGTAACCATAGTGCTCAACACAGTGTTGGAGTAACCATAGTGCTCAGCACAGTGTTGGAGTAACCATAGTGCTCAACACAGTGTTGGAGTAACCATAGTGCTCAACACAGTGTTGGAGTAACCATAGTGCTCAGCACAGTGTTGGAGTAACCATAGTGCTCAACACAGTGTTGGAGTAACCATAGTGCTCAACACAGTGTTGGAGTAACCATAGTGCTCAGCAGTCACCTGAGCAACAACTGAACACACTACAAAGAGATACAAATAAATGGTTTATATTATAGATTTTGTTTAGAGATATTTGAATACGGTTTAAACTAAGCAAATATTGAAATATAATTATCGTGAAAATAATCTTATTCTTTACTAAGCAGTAAGTGGCTTTGTGTTATTAAATATTTGAAATAAAGTACGTTGTACATAGTTATGCTAAGAGCGATCAATGAGAGCAGTGCGAGGGCCAGCCAGAGCGACATCCTCACTCACCAACTTCCTCTCCCGTACTACGCAGACGCCGCACTGAGGGGCCGCCCTCTTCCCCTGGTCCCGCCCCTCTCGGTGACGTCACATCCACGTCACACCTCTCTCCACCACTCATACGCCCGCCAGTCTCCTTAAGCAGCGCGGTGGGCGGGGCGATGGGAGGTACAAGTTTCACGCCGCATTTGTTTCCCTCGCTCATAGACAGGTGAGTGGAGGCGGGAGCCCGGTCTCCTCTCTCACACATTCCGGGTCTCTGAATGCTTTAACCTGCAGAGCACTTGACTGCACGTGCTCTGACGTCCACGCATCACACACCTACTTGTTCTCAGCGTGAAGAACTCGCCATAGCTTATTACTGCATATTATTATTTATAGTCAATAAACATGGGTGTGTGATGAGTACTGGACAATAGTGTGGGAGAACTGGTCTCCTACACGAGTGAGTGCGTCTCCAGCACCACCAGGAGACGCACCATGGTACTGCAAATGGTGTTGATGTGGTATTATTTCTATAATGGTGTCATACACGCTCGCTGATTGGTGCAGGTCTTGTTTACATTAATATAATTATTATTATATATATATATATATATATATATATATATATATATATATATATATATATATATATATATATATATATATATATATATTCTTCCCCTCCCCCCGCCCCTCCCAGAGCCTCTACTTCACAAAGTGTTCTACTGCCCTGATTCTCCTAAGCTAGTTAGTTAAACAATTAGTTTAACACACTTCCATCCATAACTTTCCACAAACAATTCGAACGTCAGGAAAGTGAAATTAAAACGCAACAGGTTGGTTGGCGGGGCATGAAGTCACTGTCAAGCACAGCCGCACACTTCACATGCACACACTCACACAAACATGAGCACACATGTGCTTACAACACATTAATCATGGTGCAGGCGATGAGTCACAATAACGTGGCTAAAGTATGTTGACCAGACCACACACTAAAGGTGAAGGGACGACGACGTTTCGGTCCGTCCTGGACCGTTCTCAAGTCGATTGTGACTTGCTTGAGAATGGTCCAGGACGGACCGAAACGTCGTCGTCCCTTCCCCTTCTAGTGTGTGGTCTGGTCAACATTAAACATGGTCTTCCTGAAGAACTAGCGTCGCGACGCCAAGACAGAACACGAACAAGGGGACACAGGTGAAAACTGAGTACCCACATGAGCCACAGGGACATTAGAAAGATTTTTTTTTTCAGTGTTAGAGTAGTTAACAAATGGAATACATTAGGCAGTGATGTGGTGGAGGCTGACTCCATACACAGCATTCAAATGTAGATATGATAGAGCCCAGTAGGCTCAGGAACCTGTACACCAGTTGATTGACAGTTGAGAGGCGGGACCAAAGAGCCAGAGCTCAACCCCCGCAAGCACAACTAGGTGAGTACAGGTGTGGAGCGTGGCCAAGACAGGTGTGGAGCGTGGCCAAGACAGGTGTGGAGCGTGGCCAAGACAGGTGTGGAGCGTGGCCAAGACAGGTGTGGAGCGTGGCCAAGACAGGTGTGGAGCGTGGCCAAGACAGGTGTGGAGCGTGGCCAAGACAGGTGTGGAGCGTGGCCAAGACAGGTGTGGAGCGTGGCCAAGACAGGTGTGGAGCGTGGCCAAGACAGTTGTGGAGCGTGGCCAAGACAGGTGTGGAACCCGCCCTGACGCTCTCGGGGCGACGCCAGCAACCTTAATAAGCGCTACTCCCTCACTCACAACTCTCTTATAGACAAAAATAATAATAATAATTTGATCTCTCAAGTTAAGGGTTTACACAATTCTATTCAACTGCTGACCCGGCCGTCAGCTGTCGTCAACCTGTCCCTATCCTATCCCTCTTGAATCGGCTGCTACTCTGGTCCTGGTCATTCAGTATACCATCTTAGTCATCCTGAGCTGAGCGACTAGTCCTAGTCATCATCCCTATCCTGCCCACAGCCAGCCTCGAGCCCCCGCCAGGCCGCCCCCGTCTTCGTCTTATCCGGACTATCCCTAAGGAGGCAGAGTAATTAAGTCAATTAAAATCTTAGCTTGTCAGGTAATTAACACGACTCGCTGGTTAGTTATGCTCTTTACGGGGTCCTGTTGTGCACTCCGCGGCTCCCCCCCCCCCCCCCCACTTTCACTTCACCCAACTTATGCTTTTTACGGGGCCTCGTGAAAGGCTTTATGCTCGACCCGCCGTATTAAACTTTCAGTCGGGGAGTCTCTGTTTATGGTTTATGCACCAGCTTGTATCGTGCTGCGTTATGCTTCGTCCAGGGCATCATGTTATGCTTCGTCCAGGGCATCGTGTTATGCTTCGTCCAGGGTACCGTGTTATGCTTCGTCCAGGGCACCATGTTATGCTTCGTCCAGGGCACCATGTTATGCTCTGTTCAGGGCACCATATTATGCTTTGTTCAGGGCACCATATTATGCTCTGTTCAGGGCACCATGTTATGCTTTGTTCAGGGCACCATGTTATGCTCTGTTCAGGGAACCATATTATGCTCTGTTCAGGGCACCATGTTATGCTTTGTTCAGGGCACCATGTTATGCTCTGTTCAGGGCACCATATTATGCTCTGTTCAGGGCACCATGTTATGCTTTGTTCAGAGCACCATGTTATGCTCTGTTCAGGGCACCATGTTATGCTCTGTTCAGGGCACCGTAAACGTAAACTTCACTTTGACGTAAACTTCACTTGAGGCCAAAATCCTGTCGCACTAGAAAAAATGGTAGCGGCTCGCGAAATTGACAATATCCCGTTTACTGTTCGTCGATCCTCTGGTAGGTTAGGGTCGGGCACTTTAGTACGGCAGTTTCTTGACGTTGGGAAGACTGGCGAGAACGGGCTGATTCAGGGCACTCTTATTACGCTTTGATCAGGGCCCCGTATTATGCTGTGCTCAGGGCCCAGCGCTAATTTATACGCCGGACTGCGTATTAATGTCTGTGCAGAGTTGAGTATGTATGTTTGTGTTGGTCAAGTTTTAATGTGTGTCAGCTTCCGTATTAATGTCTGCGCAGGTCCTTTTATTTTACTGTGTGTTGGGCCTCATATTATCTTTGTGCACACTTCGTATTAATAATTAAGCGGCGCCCGCCGCCGCCCCCATGTTATGCGCTGTACCGGGTCCTCCCCCATGTTATGCGTTGTACCGGGTCCCCCCATGTTATGCGCTGTACCGGGTCCTCCCCCATGTTATGCGCTGTACCGGGTCCTCCCATGTTATGCGCTGTACCGGGTCCTCCCCCATGTTATGCGTTGTACCGGGTCCCCCCATGTTATGCGTTGTAGCGGGTCCTCCCCCATGTTATGCGTTGTACCGGGTCCTCCCCCATGTTATGCGTTGTACCGGGTCCTCCCCCATGTTATGCGTTGTACCGGGTCCCCCCATGTTATGCGTTGTACCGGGTCCCCCCATGTTATGCGTTGTACCGGGTCCCCCCATGTTATGCGTTGTACCGGGTCCCCCCATGTTATGCGTTGTACCGGGTCCTCCCCCATGTTATGCGTTGTACCGGGTCCCCCCATGTTATGCGTTGTACCGGGTCCTCCCATGTTATGTGCTGTACCGGGTCCCCCCATGTTATGCGCTGTACCGGGTCCTCAATGTTATGCGCTGTACCGGGTCCCCCATGTTATGAGCTGTATCGGGTCTCCTCATGTTATGCGCTGTACCGGGTCCCCCATGTTATGCGCTGTACCGGGTCCCCTCATGTTATGCGCTGTACCGGGTCCCCCCATGTTATGCGCTGTACCGGGTCCCCCATGTTATGAGCTGTACCGGGTCCCCCCATGTTATGCGTTGTACCGGGTCCCCCAATGTTATGCGTTGTACCGGGTCCCCCAATGTTATGCGCTGTACCGGGTCCCCCAATGTTATGCGCTGTACCGGGTCCCCCAATGTTATGCGCTGTACCGGGTCCTCCCATGCTATGTGCTTTACCAGGTCCTCCAATGTTATGCGTTGTACCGGGTCCTCCCATGTTATGCGCTGTACCGGGTTCCCCCCCATGTTATGGTCCCTATACACGGAGTACATGTTACTGAAGTCATGGAAACAAAGATGAATAATGATTCCAGGGAACTGTTAACGGATTAAATTCATGGACATTTTGTCACACTGACAGACAAGGAGTATAGCCGTCTTCGTCAGGAAGAAAAACCAGAATGCAGCGTCAAACAGACTATTAAAACAGGAACTCGCAGACAATACGGATCGAACTAAATGAAATTAACGAGAGCTTACATAACAGAGGTAACATACTGGATTCGAACCCGGGGAGGTGGGAAGGTGGGCACATCCGAGCAGACATCACCGGGTTACTTAAGCTCAATATCTCCTCCATTGTTGGTGGCATTTCACCGAGGGGAATAACAACGAAATACGAAGTCAGGCAAAAGTGTACTTGTGCTAACTCACCGGACCCTGTCCTCAGGCGAGGCTCGTCCAGGCGGCGGCCCAACCCAAGGATGAAGTCACCAGTTTATAACAACATTTACTCGTATAAAAATTAACATTATTATATTGAGAGTTCTATATATAGTGAGACGCAGGTTATGTTAAGCGTGGGTGTATTGGCGACTATTTGTATCTGCAGTATGTGGGTGAAGCATTTACTGCGGTGCGATTTGAGCAGAAGTCTTCAGTGACGCACTGTTCGAACGTCAGTGACGCACTGTTCGAACGTCAGTGACGCACTGTTCGAACGTCAGTGACGCACTGTTCGAACGTCAGTGACGCACTGTTCGAACGTCAGTGACGCACTGTTCGAACGTCAGTGACGCACTGTTCGAACGTCAGTCGGGAGTCGTGCGTAAACCGTTTTTTATTCCTTAACGGGATGTTTGCCGTCTGTATTATCGAACATTTTGGTGAAGAGGAAGACTGTTGCTTCTGGGGGCACACTACACCGCCTCTCAAGGCGCCACACTTCATACTTGAGGCGTTAACACTTACACCTCCAGCCTTCACATTTGGTGTTTCCAAGCTTCAAAACTTGGAAGCTTCGAACTGCACACTGGTACTACAACCCGTCCAGCAGCCCCGTCCACCAGCCCCGTCCAGCAGCCCCGTCCACCAGCCCGTCCACCAGCCCGTCCACCAGCCCGTCCACCAGCCCCGTCCACCAAACAAAGACTAAAAGTGATTCCATCCACCCGCCAACCCCCCTGGTGTTTATGAATGAAAAGCGGTTTACACACGACTCGCAACTGATGACGTTCGAACACTTCCAGAACAAGTGCTTCACTGACGAACTGTGTTCGAACCACAACGCTGTAAATGCTTCACCCACGTACTACAAATACAAATAATCGCCAACAGAACCTAAACACCTAACCTAACCTATGCCTATATATGCACAATATGCTAATATATTATAATAATAATTTATATTTGAGAAAATTACCGTTTTCAATGTTAAAATTTATGAATGCGTCTGTGGGGGTCGACCGCTGGATGGAATGGAATGGGTTCGATTCCCGCACGAGGCAGAAACAAATGGGCAAAGTTTCTTTCACCCTAAGTGCCCCTGTTACCTAGCAGTAAATAGGTACCTGGGAGTTAGTCAGCTGTCACGGGCTGTTTCCTGGGGTGTGTGTGTGGTGTGGGGAAAAAAAAAAAAAGTAGTTAGTAAATCAGTTGATTGACAGTTGAGAGGCGGGCCGAAAGAGCAAAGCTCAACCCCCGCAAAAACACAACTAGTAAACACACACACACACACACACACACACACAAAGTAATCCTTCCCTCACTAATGAAAATTCGCAGCAGTGAATGGTGAGGGTGGAAGAGCAGGAGGTGGTGTAAGGGTAGGGGGGCAGAGCTAAGGGAGGAGAAGGGTTAAGAACGAAGAGGTGACGGAGGGGGGTGGCACAGAGGGGGGAGGGTGTTAGGCTCAACAAGACACAAAAGGGGGGGAGGGGATGGAGGGGTTGGAGACATCAAGCAAGACAGAGTGGTTCAAGAAAAAGCAAATCTCTGGCAGTATTTCCATACCAATAACCCCGACACGCTCGAGCCGCTAGGAGAGGACAACCCCCGCCCCCGCCCCCTCCCCCGGAGTGTCTCTGGGAGCGGCTTAACTCACAGCTCTCCATTAAGGGGTAGCGTCTCCGAGCCTCCGTCTAATTACCCCTTTGCCGGCCCGTTTTTAACACATTAAACGCCTCTCCCGGCGCGTTACACGCACCACGGCACAAAGCTCCGCTCCCGCCGCCGGGGTCAGGTCGTCGAGTGCTGGGGGCGGAGGCCCAGGAGGAGGACAGCGACGCCACGACAAGAGAGGAGGAGGAGGAGGAAGAACAAGACGTGCAGGAGGAATATGAGGAAGAAGGGAGCAGACAAAAAGTGGGAGGAGGAAGAGGTCTCCTGTCGCTACACTTACAACACCCCGCGGGGACCAGTCTCCGTGGTGTAGTGGTAAGACACTCGCCTGGCGTTCCGCGAGCGCTTTGTCATGGGTTCGTATCCTGGCCGCGGAGGATTTACTGGGCGTCAATCCTTAACTGTAGCCTCTGTTTAGGGGGGTAGAAATAGCCTAAGCTACTCTATCCCTTTGAGATGTATTTCTTGCTTATCTCAATAAACATACTTGAACTTGAACCCCGCGGGGAAAAGGCGCCAACTACAAGGAGTGTTCCCTGGGGCATATTCCCCTAAGATGAAGACCGGACCAGCGACCCTGGAACACAAGACTGGCGCTCCCACCTACACCAACGGCAGGGAACAGTTGCCTGGAACGGTCCGGAACGCCGTCCTGAAGTATTGGGGTGGGGAGCCGGACGGCCGAGCGGACAGCACACTGCACTCGTGATCCTGTGGTCCCGGGTTCGATCCCAGGCGCCGGCGAGAAACAATGGTCAGAGGTTCTTTCACCCTATGCCCCTGTTACCTAGCAGTAAAATAGGTACCTGGGTGTTAGTCAGCTGTCACGGGCTGATTCCTGCGGGTGGAGGCCTGGTCGAGGACCGGGCCGCGGGGACACTAAAGCCCCGAAATCATCTCAAGATAACCTCAAGAACCGTTTCAGATATTTATAAAACATGCTCTTGGTCCACTGCTACTTGTAACACCAGCCTGTAACACCAGCCTGTAACACCAGCCTGTAACACCAGCCTGTAACACCAGCCTGTAACACCAGCCTGTAACACCAGCCTGTAACACCAGCCTGTAACACCAGCTTGTAACACCAGCCTGTAACACCAGCCTCGAACACCAGCCTCGAACACCAGCCTGTAACACCAGCCTGTAACACCAGCCTGTAACACCAGCCTGTAACACCAGCCTGTAACACCAGCCTGTAACACCAGCCTGTAACACCAGCCTGTTACAGCCTGGCAGTCACACACTATTAACAAGATAAAGTACATACAATACTTCCTTTGAGACACACACAGTCACCCGCTGCTGCTGGAAGCAGTTATTAATATTATTAAAAAAATTAACATCTTTATTGACAAAATTAATTACAATTTTACCTAATCTGAGGATTTTGATAGTCTTAAGCTGTACCTCGCCTCCCATATCCCCCCCAGACTCGTCCCCACCCTTTCATCTCCACAAATATTAAATCTGTCAAATCCATACAGTTTCAATATTTTATAGCGAGTAAATGAGCAAGATAAGAGAGTAGAGGTCCGGGAGTGATGACCATTGACGACTGGTAGAGTGGAGTTTGTACCCCCCAGCGACCAGGCTCTCACGAGCGAGGTAGAGAGCGCCAGGCTCTCACCAGCGAGGTAGAGAGCGCCAGGCTCTCACGAGCGAGGTAGAGAGCGCCAGGCTCTCACCAGCGAGGTAGAGAGCGCCAGGTTCTCACCAGCGAGGTAGAGAGCGCCAGGCTCTCACCAGCGAGGTAGAGAGCGCCAGGCTCTCACGAGCGAGGTAGAGAGCGCCAGGCTCTCACGAGCGAGGTAGAGAGCGCCAGGCTCTCACCAGCGAGGTAGAGAGCGCCAGGCTCTCACCAGCGAGGTAGAGAGCGCCAGGCTCTCACCAGCGAGGTAGAGAGCGCCAGGCTCTCACCAGCGAGGTAGAGAGCGCCAGGCTCTCACCAGCGAGGTAGAGAGCGCCAGGCTCTCACCAGCGAGGTAGAGAGCGCCAGGCTCTCACCAGCGAGGTAGAGAGCGCCAGGCTCTCACCAGCGAGGTAGAGAGCGCCAGTCTCTCACCAGCGAGGTAGAGAGCGCCAGGCTCTCACCAGCGAGGTAGAGAGCGCCAGGCTCTCACCAGCGAGGTAGAGAGCGCCAGGCTCTCACCAGCGAGGTAGAGAGCGCCAGGCTCTCACCAGCGAGGTAGAGAGCGCCAGGCTCTCACCAGCGAGGTAGAGAGCGTCAGTCTCTCACCAGCGAGGTAGAGAGCGCCAGGCTCTCACCAGCGAGGTAGAGAGCGCCAGGCTCTCACCAGCGAGGTAGAGAGCGCCAGACTAAGAGTCGAGAGCTTACCGCAACAAGCGCATTACCCGAGCCAAAGACAAGTGACGACACAATGAAGTAGAGCCATGGTAAGTAATAAGATTATGGGAGCCAGCAGCTCTTTGTGGCACTTAAAGCCACTACCACCACTTGAGTGGCTGGGTGGTGCGGGCAGCTCCTGGTGTGTCAAGAGGCTCTGGGTGGTGCGGGCAGCTCCTGGTGTGTCAAGAGGCTCTGGGTGGTGCGGGCAGCTCCTGGTGTGTCAAGAGGCTCTGGGTGGTGCGGGCAGCTCCTGGTGTGTCAAGAGGCTCTGGGTGGTGCGGGCAGCTCCTGGTGTGTCAAGAGGCTCTGGGTGGTGCGGGCAGCTCCTGGTGTGTCAAGAGGCTCTGGGTGGTGCGGGCAGCTCCTGGTGTGTCAAGAGGCTCTGGGTGGGGTGAGCCACACCTACACTTGTAGACGTAGCTAACATGACACTAACTTCTCTCTCTCACACCCACCAGTGACCAACGGCAGCCTTTGTGTGACACAGTGCCGCTGTGGTCGCTGGTGTGACACAGTGCCGCTGTGGTCGCTGGTGTGGCACAGTGCCGCTGTGGTCGCTGGTGTGGCACAGCGCCGCTGTGGTCGCTGGTGTGGCACAGTGCCGCTGTGGTCGGTGGTGTGGCACAGTGCCGCTGTGGTCGCTGGTGTGGCACAGTGCCGCTGTGGTCGCTGGTGTGGCACAGTGCCGCTGTGGTCGCTGGTGTGACACAGTGCCGCTGTGGTCGGTGGTGTGGCACAGTGCCGCTGTGGTCGCTGGTGTGGCACAGTGCCGCTGTGGTCGCTGGTGTGGCACAGTGCCGCTGTGGTCGCTGGTGTGACACAATCACTGCCCGCTATGGTCGCTGGTGTGACACAATCACTGCCCGCTATGGTCGCTGGTGTGACACAATCACTGCCCGCTGTGGTCGTAATCATGGAATCCCGTTTTATCAAGTGGATAGGCACTGATCCCGTCCTCCTATCCTATCCCCCCAACCCTTCCTCACATCCCTGCCAAGTGCTCTATAGTCATACTGGCTTATCTTCTTATCTTCATTATCATTATTATAAACCATTAATATACATATACAAGACCAAACTTGTCCGCTAATGTTGACTTTGTTTATCAACAGTCGCTTCCGGCCCCTGATGGAGCGCTCTCCTGGACTCTTCTTCCCGCCCCACCTGCCCAGTCCCCTAGCCTCTCACCTCTTCCCTCACCTTAAGGGTACGTGTCACCCCCCACCTACACTACGGGCTCACCATAGCCCGTGCTACATGGACACTTCGTCCTGAGTAGCTAAATCTTTAATAACAACATCCCACCTACAGTGGCCACACCTCCACCTACAGTGGCCACACACCCCCACCTACAGTGGCCACACCCACCACCTACAGTGGCCACACACCCCCACCTACAGTGGCCACACCTCCACCTACAGTGGCCACACCCCCCCACCTACAGTGGCCACACCCACCACCTACAGTGGCCACACCCACCACCTACAGTGGCCACACCCACCACCTACAGTGGCCACACCTTACACCTACAGTGGCCACACCTCACGCCTACAGTGGCCACACCCCCACCTACAGTGGCCACACCCCCCACCTACAGTGGCCACACCTTACACCTACAGTGGCCACACCCACCACCTACAGTGGCCACACCCACCACCTACAGTGGCCACACCACCCACCTACAGTGGCCACACCCACCACCTACAGTGGCCACAGCCCCCACCTACAGTGGCCACACCCCCACCTACAGTGGTCACACCTCCCACCTACAGTGGCCACACCCCCACCTACAGTGGCCACACCCCCCACCTACAGTGGCCACACCCCCACCTACAGTGGCCACACCCCCCACCTACAGTGGCCACACACCCCACCTACAGTGGCCACAGCCCCCACCTACAGTGGCCACACCCCCACCTACAGTGGCCACACCTCCCACCTACAGTGGCCACACCCCCACCTACAGTGGCCACACCCCCACCTACAGTGGCCACACACCCCACCTACAGTGGCCACACACCCCACCTACAGTGGCCACACCCCCACCTACAGTGGCCACACCCCCCACCTACAGTGGCCACACCCCCACCTACAGTGGCCACACCCCCCACCTACAGTGGCCACACCCCCACCTACAGTGGCCACACACCCCACCTACAGTGGCCACACACCCCACCTACAGTGGCCACACACCCCACCTACAGTGGCCACACCCCCACCTACAGTGGCCACACCCCCACCTACAGTGGCCACACCCCCACCTACAGTGGCCACACCCACCACCTACAGTGGCCACACCCACCACCTACAGTGGCCACACCCCCACCTACAGTGGCCACACACCCCACCTACAGTGGCCACACCCCCACCTACAGTGGCCACACACCCCACCTACAGTGGCCACACACCCCACCTACAGTGGCCACACACCCCACCTACAGTGGCCACACCCACCACCTACAGTGGCCACACCACCACCTACAGTGGCCACACACCCCACCTACAGTGGCCACACCCCCACCTACAGTGGCCACACCCACCACCTACAGTGGCCACACAGCCCACCTACAGTGGCCACACAGCCCACCTACAGTGGCCACACACCCCACCTACAGTGGCCACACCCCCACCTACAGTGGCCACACAGCCCACCTACAGTGGCCACACAGCCCACCTACAGTGGCCACACAGCCCACCTACAGTGGCCACACCCACCACCTACAGTGGCCACACCCCCACCTACAGTGGCCACACACCCCACCTACAGTGGCCACACCCCCACCTACAGTGGCCACTCACCCCACCTACAGTGGCCACACCCACCACCTACAGTGGCCACACACCCCACCTACAGTGGCCACACCCCCACCTACAGTGGCCACACAGCCCACCTACAGTGGCCACACACCCCACCTACAGTGGCCACACCCCCACCTACAGTGGCCACACACCCCCACCTACAGTGGCCACACCCCCACCTACAGTGGCCACACCCCCCACCTACAGTGGCCACACCCCCACCTACAGTGGCCACACACCCCACCTACAGTGTCCACACCCCCACCTACAGTGGCCACACACCCCACCTACAGTGGCCACACCCCCACCTACAGTGGCCACACACCCCCACCTACAGTGGCCACACACCCCACCTACAGTGGCCACACCCCCACCTACAGTGGCCACACCCCCACCTACAGTGGCCACACACCCCCACCTACAGTGGCCACACCTTACACCTACAGTGGCCACACCCCCACCTACAGTGGCCACACACCCCCACCTACAGTGGCCACACACCCCACCTACAGTGGCCACACCCCCACCTACAGTGGCCACACCCCCACCTACAGTGGCCACACACCCCCACCTACAGTGGCCACACCTTACACCTACAGTGGCCACACACCCCCACCTACAGTGGCCACACCTTACACCTACAGTGGCCACACACCCCCACCTACAGTGGCCACACACCCCACCTACAGTGGCCACACCCCCACCTACAGTGGCCACACACCCCCACCTACAGTGGCCACACACCCCCACCTACAGTGGCCACACACCCCCACCTACAGTGGCCACACACCCCCACCTACAGTGGCCACACACCCCCACCTACAGTGGCCACACCTTACACCTACAGTGGCCACACACCCCCACCTACAGTGGCCCACACCCCCACCTACAGTGGCCACACACCCCCACCTACAGTGGCCACACCTTACACCTACAGTGGCCACACACCCCCACCTACAGTGGCCACACACCCCACCTACAGTGGCCACACCCCCACCTACAGTGGCCACACCCCCACCTACAGTGGCCACACACCCCCACCTACAGTGGCCACACACCCCACCTACAGTGGCCACACCTTACACCTACAGTGGCCACACCCCCCACCTACAGTGGCCACACCCCCCACCTACAGTGGCCACACACCCCACCTACAGTGGCCACACCTTACACCTACAGTGGCCACACCCCCCACCTACAGTGGCCACACCCCCCACCTACAGTGGCCACACACCCCACCTACAGTGGCCACACCCCCCACCTACAGTGGCCACACCTCACAATGCTCAAACTCTGCAACTGTTTATATTTATATTTTAAGTTAATTCAATAACATTTAATGGTAACAAGTTTGACAAGTGTGATAGTGCCGTGTGATAACGATGACTTATATCAATAATTACAACACTGTTATTCTCACTCACTTCAGCAGATAACAGTTATCTTGTCCTCTTAACAATTGCTTCCTGTTTTAATTCGTCTGAGAAAAACATTAAACATTTACACTTTATCTCCTGAACTAAAATGTCATTTTTTGGTTGTGGCGGTGAAGGGTTCCCGGGTTTGTGTTCGTGCTGCCCCATCAAGCCGCCCACCTTCAGTCCGCTATCTTCCCTCGGGTCCACCTCGCTGACGAATCCGTTATCCTCGCTGACCAATCAGACACCTTCCCTCGCCTCGCTGGCCAGTCAGACCCCGTCGTCGCTCGCCTCGCTAGCCAATCAGTCGCCGCTAGCTTCCCTGACCAGCGACCCGCGAAGTTCAAGTGTGGCGGAGCTTCGACGCAAGGCTCAGGAGCACTCGGCTGCTGTGCTTCAGAGCCTCCATGCAGCGTCCCTTCACAACCTGCAGCAGTCTCTGCAGCACCAATCCTCAGCACTCAATATCGAGAACCTTCTGAAGAATGATTCCCCGGTGCCGGCGGATAGAGAGAACTCGCAGTAGTGGCTGTAGGTCTGGGTGTTCCTTCTCGGTGGTGAGGCAGCGTCTCCCAAGGTGTCTGAGCCTGCGGGTTGGACTGTACTCAAGCCGTATTGATGCGTTGGTAAGCACGTCCAACTGATGCGTTGGTAAGCACGTCCAACTGATGCGTTGGTAAGCACGTCCAACTGGTGCGTTGGTAAGCACGTCCAACTGATGCGTTGGTAAGCACGTCCGAGTGTGTCAATATAACATAAAATGTTATATACAGGACTTGATACATCTGAGATGTAAATTCATTTGTAATAATTTTTGTCAGGAATGTATGAAAGTCTCAAGTTCAGAATATTTTAAAATGTTATCAGCAGCAGATACTGTCTGAGGGCTCTGCTGGGAGTGTCTGAGGGCTCTCCTGGCACTGTCTGAGGGCTCTGCTGGCACTGTCTGAGGGCTCTGCTGGCACTGCCTGAGGGCTCTGCTGGGACTGTCTGAGGGCTCTGCTGGCACTGTCTGAGGGCTCTGCTGGCACTGTCTGAGGGCTCTGCTGGCACTGTCTGAGGGCTCTGCTGGCACTGTCTGAGGGCTCTGCTGGCACTGTCTGAGGGCTCTGCTGGCACTGTCTGAGGGCTCTGCTGGCACTGTCTGAGGGCTCTGCTGGCACTGTCTGAGGGCTCTGCTGGGAGTGTCTGAGGGCTCTGCTGGGAGTGTCTGAGGGCTCTGCTGGGAGTGTCTGAGGGCTCTGCTGGCACTGTCTGAGGGCTCTGTTGGGAGTGTCTGAGGGCTCTGCTGGGAGTGTCTGAGGGCTCTGCTGGGAGTGTCTGAGGGCTCTGCTGGCACTGTCTGAGAACTCTGCTGACACTGTATGAGGGCTCTGCTGGCACTGTCTGAGGGCTCTGCTGGGAGTGTCTGAGGGCTCTGCTGGCACTGTCTGAGGGCTCTGTTGGGAGTGTCTGAGGGCTCTGCTGGGAGTGTCTGAGGGCTCTGCTGGGAGTGTCTGAGGGCTCTGCTGGGAGTGTCTGAGGGCTCTGCTGGGAGTGTCTGAGGGCTCTGCTGGCACTGTCTGAGAACTCTGCTGACACTGTATGAGGGCTCTGCTGGCACTGTCTGAGGGCTCTGCTGGCACTGTCTGAGGGCTCTGCTGGCACTGTCTGAGGGCTCTGCTGGCACTGTCTGAGGGCTCTGCTGGGAGTGTCTGAGGGCTCTGCTGGCACTGAGGGCTCTGCTGGCACTGTCTGAGGGCTCTGCTGACACTGTCTGAGGGCTCTGCTGGCACTGTCTGAGGGCTCTGCTGACACTGTCTGAGGGCTCTGCTGGCACTGTCTGAGGGCTCTGCTGGCACTGTCTGAGGGCTCTGCTGGCACTGTCTGAGAACTCTGCTGACACTGTCTGAGGGCTCTGCTGGCACTGTCTGAGGGCTCTACTGGCACTGAGGGCTCTGCTGGCACTGTCTGAGGGCTCTGCTGGCACTGTCTGAGGGCTCTGCTGGCACTGTCTGAGGGCTCTGCTGGCACTGTCTGAGGGCTCTGCTGGCACTGTCTGAGGGCTCTGCTGGCACTGTCTGAGGGCTCTGCTGACACTGTCTGAGGCCTCTGCTGGCACTGAGGGCTCTGCTGGCACTGGCTGAGGGCTCTGCTGGCACTGTCTGAGGGCTCTGCTGGCACTGTCTGAGGGCTCTGCTGGGAGTGTCTGAGGGCTCTGCTGGCACTGTCTGAGGCCTCTGCTGGCACTGTCTGAGGGCTCTGCTGACACTGTCTGAGGGCTCTGCTGGCACTGTCTGAGAACTCTGCTGACACTGTCTGAGGGCTCTGCTGGCACTGTCTGAGGGCTCTACTGGCACTGTCTGAGGGCTCTGCTGGCACTGTCTGAGGGCTCTGCTGGCACTGAGGGCTCTGCTGGCACTGTCTGAGGGCTCTGCTGGCACTGAGGGCTCTGCTGGCACTGTCTGAGGGCTCTGCTGGCACTGTCTGAGGGCTCTGCTGACACTGTCTGAGACCTCTGCTGGCACTGAGGGCTCTGCTGGCACTGTCTGAGGGCTCTGCTGGCACTGTCTGAGGGCTCTGCTGGCACTGTCTGAGGGCTCTGCTGGCACTGTCTGAGAACTCTGCTGACACTGAGGGCTCTGCTGGCACTGTCTGAGGGCTCTGCTGGCACTGTCTGAGGGCTCTGCTGGCACTGTCTGAGGGCTCTGCTGGCACTGTCTGAGGACTCTGCTGGCACTGTCTGAGGGCTCTGCTGGCACTGTCTGAGGGCTCTGCTGGCACTGGCTGAGGGCTCTGCTGGCACTGAGGGCTCTGCTGGCACTGTCTGAGGGCTCTGCTGGCACTGAGGGCTCTGCTGGCACTGAGGGCTCTGCTGGCACTGGCTTAGTGCCCTCAAACTCCACAGTATACAAATATCCAAAGCCAAGCCTCATGGAGGACCTCGGAGAGTAATCGTCAGTGTTTCCTGAAGTATGTAATTATCTCCATATTGTTTTTCTACCTTTTTTTGATTTTATGCGACAAAAGATACTTCCGATTATATGAGTATGAAATGTATTTATGACGTCTGTTGTTGAGAGCGCGCAGAAGCCGGACATGCCTTTATGACGCACCATCCGGCTTTGTTTACGTCACTCTGCCTGCCGGATACTTTCCCGCCAAAATCATCAACTGACACTTTTGGCGGGGAAAAGTTATCCTTCGAGATCCTTGTTCCCGCCATATTTACACACACATTTGGCGGGAAAGATGGACGCTGGTAAACTGAAGACGGGCAGTGTACCTGGGGTTCCGTGCAGTGTACCTGGGGTTCCGTGCAGTGTACCTGGGGTTCCGTGCAGTGTACCTGGGGTTCCATGCAGTGTCTGGGGTTCTGTGCAGTGTACCTGGGGTTCCGTGCAGTGTATCTGAGGTTCCATGCAGTGTACCTGGGGTTCTATGCAGTGTACCTGGGGTTCCATGCAGTGTATCTGAGGTTCCGTGCAGTGTACCTGGGGTTCCGTGCAGTGTACCTGGGGTTCCGTGCAGTGTATCTGAGGTTCCATGCAGTGTACCTGGGGTTCCATGCAGTGTACCTGGGGTTCTGTGCAGTGTACCTGGGGTTCCGTGCAGTGTATCTGAGGTTCCATGCAGTGTACCTGGGGTTCTATGCAGTGTACCTGGGGTTCCATGCAGTGTATCTGAGGTTCCGTGCAGTGTACCTGGGGTTCCGTGCAGTGTACCTGGGGTTCCGTGCAGTGTATCTGAGGTTCCATGCAGTGTACCTGGGGTTCCATGCAGTGTATCTGAGGTTCCGTGCAGTGTACCTGGGTTCTGTGCAGTGTACCTGGGGTTCCGTGCAGTGTACCTGGGGTTCCGTGCAGTGTACCTGGGGTTCCGTGCAGTGTACCTGGGTTCTGTGCAGTGTACCTGGGGTTCCATGCAGTGTATCTGAGGTTCCGTGCAGTGTACCTGGGGTTCCGTGCAGTGTACCTGGGGTTTCATGCAGTATAGTGGTATACATTCTGTACACCTACTGTGAATGCTCCACCACCACCGTAAGATATACACGGCAATAATATATTTAGTACAGTAAGGTAGACAGTCGAGAGATATTTCTTTGGTGTACCGAAAAAGTTGCCAATGCTTCATATATTGTATAAAATATGGAATGTGTTTAATAATGAAATCTAAATTTGTTGTTTTGAAGAACAAATTCTATATAAACTTCATTGTATATTAGATATTTTAAATACTTCATAACATTACTATATGCACTGAAATTGTCTTCAGGGGTATACAACGAACCCTGTGGAGACGGAGTCCTGTGTGTTTACCCCGTAACTGTGTTCCCTCACAATGTGCCCATAACACACTCAACAGTCACTGGCTTGTCACATGTTAATTTAAGTGTCTCATTCAATACCAGTGTATAGTGTACCGCTCCCCCGCGCTCCAGACCCTCCCTCTGACGCTGCCTCTCGCGCACTGATCTCCACAACTCCCGCGCTGGGCGTCAGGGCCTCTAAGCTCGCTCGCCCATGTGACGTGTTGGTCTCTGATTGGCCCATGCGATTTATTGGTCTGTGATTGGCTGTTAGTTAGTTTAAACTTCAGTCCATTAAATCTAGTAGATATTGACTAATAATTTTAAGAGCAAAATACTTATAACAATATTTCTAATAACGAAATTAATGCATAGAAATATATACAAATTAAGTCTTATAAAATTGCAATTAAACTTTTAAACTGTAAAGTAACGGCCGAAGATACAACTATTGGAGTTTGGCCCTGGAGCTAAATTTCAGTTCTCCCAACACACATAAAAGATTTAAAAAGGATATCTGTAGTTATTATAAAAAATAATTCTTTATCGAAATGATTAGCCAGTCACAGAAGACCACGTTTAATCGTCCGTGACGTCACCGCCCTCAACCCGATCTGAACCGGACCTCAGGAGTGACTAGCAGGGACCACGTACAAGCTCTTAACCGATGGTGTATTAGAGGGTCCTGTATACAGTCCTGTATAGTCCTGTATACATGGCCGGCAGTCAGCATGGGTTATAATGGGGGCCAACAGGTAGGCGTAAAGAAGGATTATTCACGTAATCAGGTGATTACGTGAATCACGTAACTTCTCATATCTTGACTTCCTGTCCATTATATAGGACTAATCTTGAGTACCTGTGTTCACCACTCACTAAGACGGTCACCTGTGTATATGGTGGTCGTGACACCCACACGGTGCAACCCGTTCTCGCAAATTTAATAAGTCAATATTGACTTATTAAATATGTGCATAGGTGACATACTTAACATAATAGATACCCTTAAAAAGATTCATAGAAAACACCGACCTTACCTAACCTTGTTAGTATCTTAAGATAAGCATCTTATTGCTTCGTAATTACAATTATTACCTAACCTAACCTATACCTATTATAGGTATAGGTTAAGTAATAATTGTAATTACGAAGCAATAAGATGCTTAAGATACTAACAAGGTTAGGTAAGGTCGGTGTTTTCTATGAATCTTTTTAAGGGTATCTATTATGTTAAGTATGTCACCTATGCACGTAGTTAATAAGTCAATATTGACTTTACGAATTTGCGAGAACGGGTTGCACGGTGATCAGACTCACAGAATTCAGTTGTTAACTTGTAAAACAGCGGTGACTAGGCTGGCAACTCAAAGTACATATTCGGTACAAAGTTATTCCTTTTATGTACTCGAACACCTATTACTCAGTTAGGCCTATCACCAGCTTGTATTCCGCCTTGAGGCTCGGAGAAAAATACATTATCCAAATATTTTTCAAAGCACTAAGGAGTAATATATTATTTAACACTACTTAAGGCAGGAACAATGTATTTTTCTATTGTATTCTGTTTAGAGACAGAAATAATTAATGCAATTTTTGAATTTATTCTGTTTGGAATCATGACAACAAAAGAATATTAAACTGTGATGTCTTTCCAAACAGGACAAGACAATGCTCTACATCTGCAGTCTTCATGGTAATTGAAAAAAAATAGTAAAGCTTCATTATACACTGAAGCTTAATATTCTACAATGACGTGGGAGAAAAAACACTATTACACAACTGTTTTTATTGAAGAAAATGACACTATTTATTCCACAAGTTCAGAGTATTAGGTTAGGAAGCGGTACGACAGTTTATGGGAGAATGGAGCTGTACTTAATTTTATGTGGGGGGGGGGGGGGGAAAGTGGGTGCCTCAGGCCTCACCAGGCCTGGCCCTGGTATTCTCAGGCCTCACCAGCCAGGGAATACCCTGGCTGGTGAGGCCTGAGCAGGAGACGAGAGCTGGTGAGGCCTGAGCAGGAGACGAGAGCTGGTGAGGCCTGAGCAGGAGACGAGAGCTGGTGAGGCCTGAGCAGGAGACGAGAGCTGGTGAGGCCTGAGCAGGAGACGAGAGCTGGTGAGGCCTGAGCAGGAGACGAGAGCTGGTGAGGCCTGAGCAGGAGACGAGAGCTGGTGAGGCCTGAGCAGGAGACGAGAGCTGGTGAGGCCTGAGCAGGAGACGAGAGCTGGTATAACCACATAATGTATATAGTGTTTAGTTGAGAGCTTCCTTCTGTGTGTATAGTTCCTAATGTATGGTTATAGTGACCTTGTCACCAGGCAGTGTAATACCTCCCTCATACATGTACTGTATTGTCCTCACACCTGTACAACACCTCACCCACACCTGAACACTATCTCACACCTGTACAACACCTCAAACACACCTGTACAACACCTCACCCACACCTGAACACTATCTCACACCTGTACAACACCTCACCCACATCTGAACACTATCTCACACCTGTACAACACCTCAAACACACCTGTACAACACCTCACCCACACCTGAACACTATCTCACACCTGTACAACACCTCACCCACACCTGAACACTATCTCACACCTGTACAACACCTCAAACACACCTGAACACTATCTCACACCTGTACAACACCTCACCCACACCTGAACACTATCTCACACCTGTACAACACCTCACCCACACCTGTACAACACCTCACCCACACCTGTACAACACCTCACCCACACCTGAACACTATCTCACACCTGTACAACACCTCACCCACACCTGAACACTATCTCACACCTGTACAACACCTCAAACACACCTGAACACTATCTCACACCTGTACAACACCTCACCCACACCTGAACACTATCTCACACCTGTACAACACCTCACCCACACCTGAACACTATCTCACACCTGTACAACACCTCACCCACACCTGAACACTATCTCACACCTGTACAACACCTCAAACACACCTGAACACTATCTCACACCTGTACAACACCTCAAACACACCTGAACAATATCTCACACCTGTATAACACCTCACCCACACCTGTACAACACCTCAAACACACCTGAACAACACCTCACCCACACCTGAACACTATCTCACACACACAACACCTCACCCACACCTGAAGAATATCTCACACCTGTACAACACCTCACCCACACCTGAACAATATCTCGCACCTGTACAACACCTCACCCACACCTGAACAATATCTCACACACACACACCTGTACAACACTCACAGATTTACACATTTCCATAACACTGTGAAACGTCTTGGTGTTCATCCCAAGGTGGGTGTACACACACACACACACACCTCATATTGACCCAAGAGCCTTCTCATTATGTGTGCTTCCTCAGACTCCCCGCCTCTCCTCCCCTAAAGACGTCAGAGTTGTAAATGTTACATTTGTACATTAAGCACATGTGTACATCCCTTACCCTGGCCACCATCCCTGTCCCCTGGAGCCACCACACTCTCACTGATCACCCTACCGAGGCCCGATCAACCTCAATTGTTCATTGTAATATATGTGTTATCTGGTCACCCCTGTCTTTTTCTTGACCCCATTACTGCTGCAATGACAGTCTCTGACCCCAAGCGTTGCTTGACCCCAATACTGCTGCACCGACAGTCTCTGACCCCAAGCGTTGCTTGACCCCAATACTGCTGCACCGACAGTCTCTGACCCCAAGCGTTGCTTGACCCCAATACTGCTGCACCGACAGTCTCTGACCCCAAGCGTTGCTTGACCCCAATACTGCTGTACCGACAGTCTCTGACCCCAAGCGTTGCTTGACCCCAATACTGCTGTACCGACAGTCTCTGACCCAAGTGTTGCTTGACCCCAATACTGCTGCACCGACAGTCTCTGACCCCAAGTGTTGCTTGACCCCAATACTGCTGCACCGACAGTCTCTGACCCCAACATTGAGTCTATAGGAAGGTGGACTGTGGCCTACACAAAGGTACCGTCCACACCCTTGGCATAACAACGGTCAGTACACATTTTCCCTCAACCTGCAGATAATCATAGCCAATCAAATCAATATTCTGGATTTGATCTTGACGAACAAAGGAGTAATGAGGGTCATTACACTCTCAGATACTTCATACTTAGACCATAAACTGACAAAGGTTTAGACCGTAATAATACCCGTAACACCCCACAAAAGGATTAAAAGTTGGAAGGGCTGTTCAATAAATTCAGTTTCAGCGATAAGAATATCGACTGGACAAAGATTAGCATCCACTGGATGACCGTCTTAGCCGCCAAGACCTCCCACCAGAGTGGAACAATTGGCTCTCCCAAGTCCACAAAGTCTGCTTGAAATATGTTCTTCTGCGCAAGATGCAACAAATAGAATCAACTGTTTTGTTTTGGTGAAAAACAGCTGTTTTCCACAAAACAACTGAAATGCTTAAGCAGACACAGCTCTCACAACAAAGTATAATATAAACAGAGACTAGAGAGCAGAGCAGAAGCTAAAGTGTTCACACCAGGTTGATGAAACACAAATGGAGCAGAAAGCACACGAGGGACAAGACAAAAATCCAAAATAATTTTTCACAAATTCAAAATAAAATAAAATAAAAAAAACCTTCCCCAGTATTGGACCAATACTTACATATGAAAGTTTATACAAAGAGGATGACCCCAAAAAATTAATGAAATTGTACAAGAATAGTACGAGGCTATGTTCAGCCCCCCCTAACCCCCCCTCCCCCCCCTCCCTCAGTCAACAACATGGAGGGTGAAGAGAGCGGCGTCCTTATAAACAATGTCCAACACTATGATAACGTAACTGTTATTAACACGACCACAGAAGTCTTTGAAAGATAAATTGACAACATTGCCATGGACTCAGACCCGGGTCCTCACTCCTCTAACTCCAAAAGTTATAAAGAAATGTAAATACGGGAGATACAAAAAGTCCTTAAATAAGTAGATATTTTTTCACTTTACAAGAAAGGAAGCAAAGCATTACTTAAAACTAGCCCGGTTGCCCTAGTAGTAGTAGTAGTAATAAGTAGTAGGTATCTTGCAGTCTGGGGAGACTATGGACTTGGGCTCTAGTTGCCGAGGCTGTAGGGTCCTCTTCTGAGCGCAAAGCCAGGGTTAGGTAATATGGAGAAGCTGTTACCCATGCAGCAGGTCCCCCCTTCACGTTGCTGAAATTGTCCAATGGAAATGCAAACGCCAATACGCTTGTTCCAGAGTCGTCGCAGGAGCTGCCAGAACGAGGTTGCACTAACATCACACATAATTAAAGTTTTGAGAGAGTGATTTGAAGTCAAATCTCCAGATTTATGGAGAACAATGAACTTCACAACACAGGTCAGCGTGGATTTAGAACAGGAAAAATCCTCTCTTTCGCAATTACTTAACCACTATGACAAAATCATGAAAACATTAGAAGAAAATCTAAATGGAAATGTTAAATACACAGACTTTACAAAGGCTTTTGATAAAGGTGACCAAAGAGTGACAGATCGTAACACAGGATCACAAAAAATAACATGGCAGGTCGATGGATGTTATATTGTCTGTCAGAGAGTCAGAGAGAAAGCACAGAGTAACAAACAAAATAGTCGACCAATTAGAAGGGAAGGGGAATAGCAGAGAAGGGAAGGGGGGAGAGAGCGTACCCGGGCGACGCCGGGTACTCCCCTACAGTTACTTCTATAACTCCTAAAGTCCGCTGCGGTCTGTGGTGTTGACGCCTGGACTGACCGTCGGTGTGGGCGCTGCTCCTGGGCTCTTTTTTTTTTTTTTTTTTGAGATATATACAAGAGTTGTTACATTCTTGTAGAGCCACTAGTACGCGTAGCGTTTCGGGCAAGTCCTTAATCCTACGGTCCCTGGAATACGATCCCCTGCCGCGAAGAATCGTTTTTTCATCCAAGTACACATTTTACTGTTGCGTTAAACAGAGGCTACAGTTAAGGAATTGCGGCCATTAAATCCTCCCCGGCCAGGATACGAACCCATGACATAGCGCTCGCGGAACGCCAGGCGAGTGTCTTACCACTACACCACGGAGACTGCCAATTAGCTCCTCTTAGCTCGAGGCAAGAGGAGGCGAGTGTTTCAAGTGTGAGAGCTTAGAGAGCAAGTGTCTCACCACCTTCCTTGGAGAAGTGTGTGTGTGTTACCTGGATGTTGACGTACACGGGAATTAGGATTCCAGTGTCCTAGAACACATTTAAAAGGTATTTTCAGTGTGATGAGATTGTAGGCCTTTTTACTCTCTATTAATCATACCGGGAGTGAGTTGGTAGCACCAGAGCCGGTCGGCCGAGCGGACAGCACGCGGGACTTGTGATCCTGTGGTCCAGGGTTCGATCCCAGGCGCCGGCGAGAAACAATGGGCAGAGTTTCTTTCACCCTATGCCCCTGTTACGTAGCAGGATTTTTTTTTTTTATTATTTAAAAAAAAAAGTAAAATAGGTACCTGGGTGTTAGTCAGCTGTCACGGGCTGCTTCCTGGGGGTGGAGGCCTGGTCGAGGACCGGGCCGCGGGGACACTAAAGCCCCGAAATCATCTCAAGATAACCTCAAGAAGATAACCAGTCACAGAATATTAACGACACGAAATAGTTTGAGCAGAGCTGATGTTAGTCTATGACGCAGGTGACGTATGTCACTGTTGACCCCAACCCCGAGGCTGTGCTGCCCAAATGTTTCACTGTTTGGGGGTGTTCACTTACAAAGCTAGAAGGACATATGTTCTTTTGTGGGGAAAAAGAACTCCGGACTTTCTTACACAGATACTAAAAGTAGTGAATGCGGCTCCATTAACAAAAGAATCGAGAAAATGGGAGGACAAATTGCTCAAAACTCCACGGAAAACAAATATTCGATTTCAGACTTTACCGCACTCGCTGGAGGAGCCGCTATTTCTTAAAAGGTGGCAATGTGACCGAGCCCAACCAGTCTATGACAGTCACACACCACCGAGGTGTCATCTTGAAAAGTTGGGTGAAGTTAACGCGAAGTATCTGACCTCTGACCTCGGTCAAATAAGCAGACACTCTTATAGATATAGAGAGCAGCGGTGAGTCTGACGGTGGGAGTCAGCCACCCCAGGAGTGACCCCCACCTGGGGGGGTCAGCCACCTCAGGAGTGACCCCCACCTGGGGGGGTCAGCCACCCCAGGAGTGAGCCCCACCTCGGGGGGTCAGCCACCCCAGGAGTGACCCCCACCTCGTGGGGTCAGCCACCCCAGGAGTGACCCCCACCTCGGGGGGTCAGCCACCCCAGGAGTGACCCCCATCTCGGGGGGTCAGCCACCCCAGGAGTGACCCTCACCTCGGGGGGTCAGCCACCCCAGGAGTGACCCTCACCTCGGGGGTCAGCCACCCCAGGAGTGACCCCCACCTCGGGGGGTCAGCCACCCCAGGAGTGACCCCCACCTGGGGGGGGTCAGCCACCCCAGGAGTGACCCCCACCTGGGGGGGTCAGCCACCCCAGGAGTGACCCCCACCTGACCCTCCGGCAGTAAACACTGCCAAGGGGAAATAAATTAAGGTGATCCGAGGGCTGGAGAGTCAGAGTGGCGCGACTCTCACGTCATGTTTTGTTAAGCTGTGTATCACAGGTAATGAGGAGGACCTCCAGGTCGGCCCCGGGGCCGCCGGCGTCCCGTCACGCTCACCCTCCAGTTATTAGTGGGGGGTCTTGCTGGGGGAGCTGGGTGGTGGGGTGCTGGGTGGTGGGGTGCTGGGTGGTGGGGTGCTGGGTGGTGGGGTGCTGGGGGCTGGGTGCTAGGTGGTAGGTGCTAGGGAGCTGGGTGCTGGGGAGCTGGGTGCTGGGGAGCTGGGTGCTGGGGAACTGGGTGCTGGGGAGCTGGGGTGCTGGGTGGTGGGGTGCTAGGTGCTAGGGTGGTAGGTGCTGGGGAGCTGGGTGCTGGGGAGCTAAGTGCTGGGGACACCGATGACAGATGAGGGGAGGAGAGGGGGAAGGTGGGGGGGTTGTACTGTGGCCAGCAGAAGCAAGTGGACTTCACTCATCAAAGTGGATAGCGTCTCCCTCTGGCGGTAATGAGGCAAGGTAATGAGTGGTGCTCGAGCACAGACTGGCAGCCCCCCTCACCAACCCTGCCTCCTAAAATTATACCACCAATACCAACTATGTGTTCAAACGAACACAAACCGACTGTTAGACACAAGTTCATGTTCTGTACAACTGAATTAACCCAAATGTTAGACACAAGTTCATGTTCTGTACAACTGAATTAACCCAAATGTTAGACACAAGTTCATGTTCTGTACAACTGAATTAACCCAAATGTTAGACACAAACAATGACTAAGTAACACACAGATATCACAATAGCCTGATGCATCAAATGAACATGCTTTCGGACGTAAGTTCGAGCCCTCGTCACGGCACCTGAAAAAGAATATCTGATCAACCAGGCTGTGACTCATACGTCAGGCTGCGAGCAGCCGCGTCCAACAGCCTGGTTGATCAGTCCGGCAACCATGAGGCCTGGTCGACGACCGGGCCGCGGGGACGCTAAGCCCCGGAAGCACCTCAAGGTAACCTCAAGGTAAGGTAACGGCCCTTGTGGATTTGTTCATGCGTAAGTGAAGTGCCTACGTCGCAGCCTAACATATATACTGCCCAAGCAATCCTGGACCTAATATCCCCTTATCTTAAGCTTAATATACCCTATCTTAAGCTTAATATCCCCTATCTTAAGCTTAATATACCCTGTCTTAAGCCTAATATACCCTGTCTTAAGCCTAATATACCCTGTCTTAAGCTTAATATACCCTATCTTAAGCTTAATATACCCTGTCTTAAGCCTAATATACCCTGTCTTAAGCTTAATATACCCTGTCTTAAGCCTAATATACCCTGTCTTAAGCTTAATATACCCTGTCTTAAGCTTAATATACCCTGTCTTAAGCTTAATATACCCTGTCTTAAGCTTAATATACCCTGTCTTAAGCCTAATATACCCTGTCTTAAGCTTAATATACCCTGTCTTAAGCTTAATATACCCTGTCTTAAGCTTAATATACCCTGTCTTAAGCCTAATATACCCTGTCTTAAGCCTAATATACCCTGTCTTAAGCCTAATATACCCTGTCTTAAGCCTAATATACCCTGTCTTAAGCCTAATATACCCTGTCTTAAGCCTAATATACCCTGTCTTAAGCCTAATATACCCTGTCTTAAGCCTAATATACCCTGTCTTAAGCCTAATATACCCTGTCTTAAGCCTAATATACCCTGTCTTAAGCCTAATATACCCTGTCTTAAGCCTAATATACCCTGTCTTAAGCCTAATATACCCTGTCTTAAGCCTAATATACCCTGTCTTAAGCCTAATACGGAACATGTTTGCTACACGTAGCTTAGAATATTTACATTTGTTTTTAGTTTATTTTTTTCTGGCCGCTACAAAAATAAATATGACAAAATGATGAGTATTTGAAACCGTCCATTTTCGTACGTTCTACCAAATAATTGCCATTAGTACTATCATTTGAGAGAGAGAGAGAGAGGGATCGACGAGACAGAGAGAGAGAGAGAGAGAGAGAGAGAGAGAGAGAGAGAGAGAGAGAGAGAGAGAGAGAGAGAGAGAGACAGAGAGAGAGAGACAGAGAGAGAGAGAGAGAGACAGAGAGAGAGAGAGAGAGAGAGAGAGAGAGAGAGAGAGGGAGAGAGAGAGAGAGAGAGAGACAGAGAGAGAGAGACAGAGAGAGAGAGAGAGAGACAGAGAGAGAGAGAGAGACAGAGAGAGAGAGAGAGAGAGAGAAGAGTAGACATAAACATGACCAGACAACAATACACAAGAGAGTGAAGAGGAGCAATAAGACGCCCACACTGAGAATGAGACACGACTCAGCCCCGTCACCACCACACTCCCAGAGACTCCCGTCGGCCAAGTACATCGTACCTAGTACCTGCGAGGGAGTCCCTCGGGGTAGGGGCGCCTCACAGGGGGAATGTGCCGACCCTGAGGGCGTGCCCAAGCCCCTCCAGTGGCCACCAGACTGAACACTGTTCAGTAAGAACAAGGAGAGAGAGAGACGCCCCGACACCCGGAGAACTAGCGGAGTCACCCCTGGAGAGAAGGCGGGAACGCTACTCACGCTCACCAACATGTAACTTCAGTTACTTACACCGTAATACAATACAGCGATGTACTCTAATGCGGGTAATATATATTTAAACAAATGTTAATGTTGAGAGAGATGTGCATATGGTAGGTTGGTGAGAAGTACAGAGGAGTTGGCACCGACCGAGTCATGTCACTCAAGTGGAAGGTGTCCAGCGGGGTGACACTATTGACTGGCCGCTGATATCCTGCCCACCTGGTAATGGGGCCCGTGGCTGCCCACCTGGTAATGGGGCTCGTGGCTGCCCACCTGGTAATGGGGCTCGTGGCTGCCCACCTGGTAATGGGGCCCGTGGCTGCCCACCTGGTAATGGGGCCCGTGGCTGCCCACCTGGTAATGGAGCCCGTGGCTACCCACGGGGTTATGGGGGCCCGTGGCCTGCCCCCTGGTAATGGGGCTCGTTGCTACCCACGGGGTTATGGGGGCCCGTGGCTGCCCACCTGGTAATGGGGCCCGTGGCTACCCACCTGGTAATGGGGTCCGTGGCTGCCCACCTGGTAATGGGGCCCGTGGCTACCCACGGGGTTATGGGGGCCCGTGGCTGCCCCCTGGTAATGGGGCTCGTGGCTACCCACGGGGTTATGGGGGCCCGTGGCTGCCCCCTGGTAATGGGGTCCGTGGCTGCCCACCTGGTAATGGGGTCCGTGGCTGCCACGGGGTTATGGGGGTCCGTGGCTACCCACGGGGTTATGGGGGTCCGTGGCTGCCCACCTGGTAATGGGGTCCGTGGCTGCCCACGGGGTTATGGGGGTCCGTGGCTACCCACGGGGTTATGGGGGTCCGTGGCTGCCCACCTGGTAATGGGGTCCGTGGCTGCCCACGGGGTTATGGGGGTCCGTGGCTACCCACGGGGTTATGGGGGTCCGTGGCTGCCCACCTGGTAATGGGGCCCGTGGCTGCCCACCTGGTAATGGGGTCCGTGGCTACCCACGGGGTTATGGGGGCCCGTGGCTGCCCCCTGGTAATGGGGCTCGTGGCTACCCACGGGGTTATGGGGGCCCGTGGCTGCCCACCTGGTAATGGAGCCCGTGGCTGTTCCCTGGTAATGGGGCCCGTGGCTGCCCACGGGGTTATGGGGGGCCCGTGGCTGCCCACCTGGTAATGGGGTCCGTGGCTACCCACGGGGTAAGGAGAAAGATGACCTGAGAGGTGGTCTCACTCTGGTCTTGGAAGGCGTCCAGACGCCTCTCCGGGGGACCTAAAATTACCAAGGAAAAAAGGGGAGAATTTCCCCATTTTCCCGCGAAATTGGCCTTGATAAAGCGCTGGCTGGGTCCCAGATAAGATGGAAAAATCCATAGCCCGTTGTGAGCGCCTCCACCCCACTCTGCTTTACTACCCCCCCCCCCCCCCCACGCTGCCAAATTGGTTAAGGAACGACACACGAGGAAGAGCTGTAATACTCCTTATGACCCCTGGCTTTAAGGGTGAGGCACAAGGGATGCCTCCGTGTACTTCCCTCACCTTCGCTGCACCCTGAGTGGTAGTCTTTCCTGTTGGACCTTAAGGGGGAGTTTCCTTGCTGGACCTTAAGGGGGAGTCTCCTTGCTGGACCTTAAGTGGGAGTCTCCTTGCTGGACCTTAAGGAGGAGTCTCCTTGTTGGACCTTAAGGAGGAGTCTCCTTGTTGGACCTTAAGGGGGAGTCTCCTTGCTGGACTTTAAGGGGGAGTCTCCTTGCTGGACCTTAAGGGGGAGTCTCCTTGCTGGACCTTAAGGGGGAGTCTCCTTGCTGGACCTTAAGGGGGAGTCTCCTTGCTGGACCTTAAGGGGGAGTCTCCTTGCTGGACCTTAAGGAGGAGTCTCCTTGTTGGACCTTAAGGAGGAGTCTCCTTGCTGGACCTTAAGGGGGAGTCTCCTTGCTGGACCTTAAGGGGGGGAGTCTCCTTGCTGGACCTTAAGGGGGGGAGTCTCCTTGCTGGACCTTAAGGGGGAGTCTCCTTGCTGGACCTTAAAGGGGAGTCTCCTTGCTGGACCTTAAGAGGGGGAGTCTCCTTGCTGGACCTTAAGGGGGAGTCTCCCTTGCTAGACCTTAAGGGGGAGTCTTCCAGGCAGTCCAACACAGAATGTAATTCTGCTTATTTAGCGATCACTCAGAGGTGGGATTTATTTAAGGGAGTGATGGGCAAGGAGGTGAGATGGGGGCGGAGGGGGATGGGCGGGGCACAGGTTACAACGAGGGGAATGGTGAGGGGAAGAAGAAGGGGGAAGGGGATAAATTATGGGAATAGAGACAGAAGTAAAACGCAAGAGGACCCGCCATAGAAGAAAGAAGTTGATGACAAGGGTTTGAAGAGTGTGTGTGTGGGGGAGGGGGGGAGGTGGTGTTGAGGGGGGGGGGGTATTGAAAAGGTGTTGTGGGAAATGTGGTGGTGGGGGCACGGGGGGGGGTAGGGAATGGTGGAGGTGGAGGGTGTGCAGAGTAAAGGGGTTGGGGGAAGTGGTGTGTTGGGGGAAGTGGGTGTTGGGGGAAGTGGGTGTTGGGGGAAGTGGGTGTTGGGGGAAGTGGGTGTTGGGGAAAGTGGGTGTTGGGGGAAGTGGGTGTTGGGGGAAGGGGTGTAGGGGGGGGTAAGGTAGTGGGGAGGGGGAGGAAGGAGGTTGTAAGACTGGGCATGATAGGGTTCAGTCTTTGTAAGACTGGGCATGATAGGGTCCAGTCTGTGTAAGACTGGGCATGATAGGGTTCAGTCTGTGTAAGACTGGGCATGATAGGGTTCAGTCTGTGTAAGACCGGGCATGATAGGGTTCAGTCTGTGTAAGACTGGGCATGATAGGGTTCAGTCTGTGTAAGATACCAGCCCGTGAAGCAGCAGGTATACTCAGCCCCACACACCTTGTGCTCCTGTCTACCCTTCACCACACACACACACACACACAATGTAAATGTAGATATGATAAATGTAGATATAACAGAGCCCAGTAGGCTCAGGAATCTGTACACCAGTTGATTGACGGTTGAGAGGCGGGACCAAAGAGCCAGAGCTCAACCCCCGCAAACACAACTAGGTGAGTCCAAGCTTACCATTCCTCAACACACCTCTCCAACACAACACAACACCTCTCTCGTTGTAACCGTTCTATAACACCACCAAAGTCACCCGCTAAGCCTCTCCATTAGTAAGATTATAACAGAACGGAGACAAAAAATAACACGATCCACAACTTACAAAATCTTGTCTATTCCCTCCAGGAAATATCTCTTAGAAATAGAATTAGAGACAAATAAACCATTTAACCCCCGTTATGTGCAAGGTGATTCCGAGCACCGCTCAACCCTCTCCCACGGCACGCAACATTTACCATAAAATCCCAGAAACTTAAAAAGCCTTTTTTAACCATAAATAATATTATTATAAACTAACCCTTGTAGCAACCCGCCACCTACACAGCAAACAATGAGCGATACAAAACAGGTACAAAAAAGTATTCTATAATTCAAGAATTCGATACAAAATACAGGCGATGAGTCACAATAACGGGGCTAAAGTATGTTGACCAGACCACACACTAGAAGGTGAAGGGACGACCACGACGTTTCGGTCCGTCCTGGACCATTCTCAAGTCGATTGATAGGATATTATTACCACGTCTCAATACAAACCCAATTACCAAAAAGTATATATATATATAATATATATATATATATATATATATATATATATATATATATATATATATATATATATATATATATATAATATATATTTGTATATATATATATATATATATATATATATATATATTATATATATATATATAATATATATATTTGTATATATATATATATATATATATATATATATATATATATATATATATATATATATATTTGTATATATATATATATATATATATATATATATATATATATATAATATATATATTTGTATATATATATATATATATATATATATATATATATATATATATATATATATATATATAATATATATATTTGTATATATATATATATATATATATATATATATATATATATATATATATATATATATATATATATATATATATATATATATATATATATATATATATATATATATATATTTTACCCCTCAGAGTGAAGCAAAGTGTAGATAAGAACCTCGGATGAAAATCTGAAAACAATTCTATATTGTTTGAAGAAATTCCTGGAGTAATGGTCTTCAAACTCTCATTTCTCATCATCAGTATAAGAACACTTTTGACCGCCACCGGAAACTTGGGGCCCTGAGCTCGCGGGGGCTTGCGGGAGCTCGCGGGAGCTTGCGGGAGCTCGCGGGAGCTTGTGGGAGCTCGCGGGGGCTCGCGGGAGCTCGCGGGAGCTCGCGGGAGCTTGCGGGAGCTCGCGGGAGCTTACGGGAACTTGCGGGAGCTCGCAGGAGCTTGCGGGAGCTCGCGGGAGCTTGCGGGAGCTCGCGGGAGCTTGCGGGAGCTCGCGGGAGCTCGCGGGAGCCCGCAGGAGCTCGCGGGAGCTCGCAGGAGCTCGCGGGAGCTTGCGGGAGCTCGCAGGAGCTTGCGGGAGCTCGCAGGAGCTTGCGGGAGCTCGCGGAGGCTTGCGGGAGCTCGTGGGGGCTTGCGGGAACTCGCGGGGGCTTGCGGCGAATGATAACCCATTCTCTTAATAATAATAATACAAAAATATTATTATTAGTATTACCTTTAATTACCCTTTATTACCTTATTATTATTATCGTTATTTGTATTATTTTTTTGAATCATTTTATGGAGCGAAGTGTTGACAGGAGCGGAGGTCCAGAGACCCGTCTCACTGGACGGTACCTATAGTGACCGGGCCTCCGTCACCACCGTGTCCTGGTGGGGGGGGGAGGAGGTTATCTTGAGGTTATCTTGAGATGATTTCGGGGCTTTTAGTGTCCCCGCGGCCCGGTCCTCGACCAGGCCTCCACCCCCAGGAAGCAGCCCGTGACGGCTGCCTAACACCCAGGTACCTATTTTACTGCTAGGTAACAGGGGCATAGGGTGAAAGAAACTCTGCCCATTGTTTCTCGCCGGCGCCTGGGATCGAACCCAGGACCACAGGATCACAAGTCCAGCGTGCTGTCCGCTCGGCCGACCGGCTCGGAAGTGTGTGGGTGTAGGTGGGCGAGGAGGAGGGGGTGTAAAGAGGGGGGGGGGGAGCTGAGGACTGAGGCGTAAGGAACATCGGCCCCACAACTGGTTTTTTGTTAATTAGCAAAGGAGCTTAATTATGTAAATACTATCGCCCAGAGCTTGCTGCTGCCTGGCCCTGTACCCAGCAGGCACTCGAGCGAGTAACATTATTACAACGTTTTCAACTTGTATTCACCTCCCTTACCTGAATGTACTCACGTACATCCTGTGGTCCTGGGTTCGATCCCAGGCGCCGGCGAGAAACCATGGGCAGAGTTTCTTTCACCCTATGCCCCTGTTACCTAGCAGTAAATAGGTACCTGGGTGTTAGTCAGCTGTCACGGGCTGCTTCCTGGAGGTGGAGGCCTGGTCGAGGACCGGGCCGCGGGGACACTAAAGCCCCGAAATCATCTCAAGATAACCTCAAGAATCTCAAGATGATAACGTAAACGTATAAGATTTTTTTTTTTTTTTTTATTAAGTTATGAGGTACATCTGCATTAGTGCAGCTGCCCTAGACTATATGAAGTGTAGTACAGTGTGTCAAAAAAGCTAACTAGGTGATGCTAAAAAATCCCCATCACACAGGATGGTTAGTCATACAGAGGCATGTGATAAGCGGTCTGCACTGGCAGACTCCGGATGCATTTTGAGGATATCAACACCACAAGATTGAATAAGGCAGCAGTGGTAATACAAGTCCCCATCTCGCAGGATGGTTAGTCATACAGAGCCATGTGTTTAATAGCCTGCACTGGCAAATTTTGGGTATACTGTGAGGATATCTTCAAGAATACGAGAGTGAATAAAGTAATTGCAAAGCTCCAGGTACCTCATTCCAACTGGTCTGAAAGGTCTAATAACTGGGCATTCAGTGATGTAGTGCGGGAGATCATGCCGTAGTTCCTGCTCACAGAGTTTGCAACTGGAGTGCTCAGGATTGGGAGACCCGTCACCTGCAGCCACCTGCCACAGGTAACGGTAACCCAACCATATAAGAGAGCCAAGACGTGTTCAACAGTCTACGGACATAGAGCGATGTGTTTCACTTAGTCTCACACAATCACATATTGTTAGCCTTCGTCAAACACAATTACACTAACTACTCGGAAACGGAAACAATACATCGTGCAGCTATCGTGGTCATGATATGATAGCCGCCCTAGGAAATACACTGTCGTTTCACTTAATACAATGCCGCTGTATTTCTGTACAGTAAACTATGTTTGTTTTCGATTGCGAATATATTTGCATAACTGAATTACGTGTGATGTGTGACTTTGTTACATAAAATTTTCAGACTGCATATTATAGTTGTTAATACCTAACTAATATGTTGACACTGCAAATATTAATATTGTGTGTGTGTGTGTGTGTACTTGCCTATTGGTGCCTGCAGGATCGGGCTCTAGCTCTGGCACCCAAACTCTTGGAACGTGTGTACTCACCTAGTTGTACTCACCTAGTTGTGTTTGCGGGGGTTGAGCTCTGGCTCTTTGGTCCCGCCTCTCAACCGTCAATCAACTGGTGTACAGATTCATGAGCCTATCGGGCTCTGTATGTGTGTGGGTGTGTGTGTGTGTGTGTGTGTGTGTGTGTGTAGTCACCTAGTTGTGCTTGCGGGGGTTGAGCTTTGGCTCTTTGGTCCCGCCTCTCAACCGTCAATCAACTGGTGTACAGATTCCTGAGCCTACTGGGCTCTATCATATCTACATTGGAAACTGTGTATGGAGTCAGCCTCCACCACATCACTGCCTAATGCATTCCATTTGTTAACTATTCTGACACTGAACAAAAAATCTAATGTGTCTGTGTCTCATGTGTGTTCTGGGCTTGCACCTGTGTGCCGTTGTGCGTGTACCACAGGTGCTAATGGTCTAGTTTAAATACGACTCAAACAGCTAGATCAATAATCGTGGCATACACGACTCTTGACATTTCTAAGGTTAAGGTTAACTGACTGGTTAAGGCAGGTCTAGAGAGGAAGTGTGCTACACTTCCCGGGGAGCCGGTCGGCCGAGCGGACAGCACGCTGGACTTGTGATCCTGTGGTCCCGGGTTCGATTCCAGGCGCCGGCGAGAAACAATGGGCAGAGTTTCTTTCACCCGATGCCCCTGTTACCTAGCAGTAAAATAGGTACCTGGATGTTAGTCAGCTGTCACGGGCTGGTTCCTGGGGGTGGAGGCCTGGTCGAGGACCGGGCCGCGGGGACACTAAAGCCCCGAAATCATCTCAAGATAACCTAGTTGTGCTTGCGGGGTTGAGGTTGAACAATTGCTTGACAATTGTGAGAGTGTGCCTAGAGGGCAGTTAACAACGACTGGAGTGCCAGAGTGCCAACGACTGGAGTGCCAGAGTGCCAACGACTGGAGGGCCAGAGTGCCAACGACTGGAGTGCCAGAGTGCCAACGACTGGAGGGCCAGAGTGCCAACGACTGGAGGGCCAGAGTGCCAACGACTGGAGTGCCAGAGTGCCAACGACTGGAGGGCCAGAGTGCCAACGACTGGAGTGCCAGAGTGCCAACGACTGGAGGGCCAGAGTGCCAACGACTGGAGTGCCAGAGTGCCAACGACTGGAGGGCCAGAGTGCCAACGACTGGAGGGCCAGAGTGCCAACGACTGGAGTGCCAGAGTGCCAACGACTGGAGGGCCAGAGTGCCAACGACTGGAGTGCCAGAGTGCCAACGACTGGAGGGCCAGAGTGCCAACGACTGGAGTGCCAGAGTGCCAACGACTGGAGGGCCAGAGTGCCAACGACTGGAGGGCCAGAGTGCCAACGACTGGAGTGCCAGAGTGCCAACGACTGGAGGGCCAGAGAGCGCTATTACCTCCCGCCTCACTATACAAGGTCAAGCTTGTATCTTCCTACAGCACTTGGTGGCCTAGAGTACAAGGTGGGAACCCAGGAGGAAAAGCTTACCTTACAAATAAGCTGTAAGGTAAGCTGTGTGTGTGTGAGGCGAACACACACACACACACACACACACGCACACACGCACACAGCGTGAGAGTAGTGGAAAAATGGAATGCACTTGGGGAACAGGTTGTGGAAGCAAACTCTATTCATATTTTTAAAATTAGGTATGATAGGGAAATGGGACAGGAGTCATTGCTGTAAACAACCGATAGCTGGAAAGGCGGGATCCAAGAGTCAATGCTCGATCCTGCAAGCACAAATAGGTGAATACAAATAGGTGAGCACACACACACACACACACACACACAAAGACCCGGAATGACCACACGCCATTAATATAACAATCAGCAGTTGGGTCATTAGCAGGAAGCACTAGAGAGCGAGGGTCGAGGGTGGTGGTGGAGGAGGGGGCGGGGGATGGTCTCTTCAATGGACCATTATGGCGTGAAAGAGGCCAAGCTGCTGTAACGTGTCTGGACCTTCCAGGATTCATCACAACGGTACCGTCACTCTTAATGCTTTTATGGCTGGTGGGCGGGCTAGTGGGCGGGGCGGGGTGGGGATGGAGTGGGTGGAACAGGGCTTTGAGAGCAGATAGATGGGCTGGGACAGGGTATGTGAGAGGGGGTTGGAAGAGTGGTGGGAGGGGGCTTGGAGTGATGCCGACGCGCCGAGATAGGGAACGTAAGGACAAGAAAACATACGAGAGCGAAGAACTGGACTAGGAGAGACGAGAGCTGAAGAACGGACAGCAGGAAGGAACGGGTGTACAAGTGGATGGGACAGGATAGAGAGGGGTGGGAAAGGAAGCTGTTAAAGAGAGGAAGCGGGAGAAGGGTGGAATGTGGCATCAGCTGTAGATGAGGAAGGGGACGGGAGAGAAGGGAAGGAGGTGAGAGAGAAGGGAGGGAGGTGAGAGAGAAGGGAAGGAGGTGAGAGAGAAGGGAGTGAGGTGAGAGAGAAGGGAGTGAGGTGAGAGAGAAGGGAGTGAGGTGAGAGAGAAGGGAGTGAGGTGAGAGAGAAGGGAGTGAGGTGAGAGAGAAGGGAGTGAGGTGAGAGAGAAGGGAGTGAGGTGAGAGAGAAGGGAGGGAGGTGAGAGAGAAGGGAAGGAGGTGAGAGAGAAGGGAAGGTGAGAGAGAGGGAAGGAGAGAGAGAGGGAAGGAGGTGAGAGAGAAGGGGAGGAGGTGAGAGAGAAGGGGAGGAGGTGAGAGAGAAGGGAGGAGGTGAGAGAGAAGGGAGGGAGGTGAGAGGGAAGGAGGTGAGAGAGAAGGGAAGGAGGTGAGAGAGATGATGTAGAGACAGTGATAAGGACGGAAGAGACATGATTATCTACTCACTATGTGACAGTGGCAGCAAGTGTCTGGTAGATTAAGAGGCAGTAGGGGAGGGACGGGTAGATGGAGCACTCCCCATATCTACTCTCACTCCATCTACCAGCACTCCCTCTGCCTACTAGGCCTAACACTTCCTGTGGTCATGGCCACTCGTCAATCTATATAATGTCATCTTTCTTCACGACTTGTCCCTCTATCTTACCCCCCCCCCCTCCATCACACTTCCTCTTCCTTCCATCCCCTCTTCCATCTCACTACTCCCTCCATCCCCTCTTCCATCTCACTACTCCCCCCATCCCCTCTTCCATCTCACTACTCCCTCCATCCCTCACCCTCTTCCATCTCACTACTCCCCCCATCCCCCTCTTCCATCTCACTACTCCCTCCTACCCTCTTCCATCTCACTACTCCCCCATCCCCCTCTTCCATCTCATTACTCCCTCCTACCCTCTTCCATCTCAATACTCCCTCCCTCACCCTCTTCCATCTAACTACTCCCTCCCTCCCTCACCCTCTTCCATCTCACTACTCCCTCCATCCCTCACCCTCTTCCTGCCTCTTCTGTTGACTTTGCTCGTTACATCTCCACTCTTGTCTTAATCGTTCCCATTCACCAGTTTATCTCCCTTCTACACCCTTCCATTTCCGTCTATTTCTTCTCGTCCATTCCCGTCCTTTTCTCCATGACCCTTACACCTGGTGTAGAAGGGTCATGGTCCGCCCCCGTCCCTGCATCTGTCTGTCTGTCTCTGCACTCTCTACCCGCTTCCCATCTTCTCTCTTTCATGATTTGTCTACTCTTCTCTTACCATTTACTCTGCTTTCTCAGCTTCTCCCCCTCCTCCTCCTCCTAGTCAGTGGTATACGGGGTTGAGCGTCTTGGCTGAGCGCCGCCAATAGGGAGCCAGCCTGGCCATTTCTGCAGGATCATTAGCCGCTGTGAATGGTCGCTAAAGAGAGACAAGCGCTCACTTCCAGGATTCTTCCAGACCCTGACTGGGATCTCCAGAGACCTTCCATGGCAGTCTATAGGAGTCTATTCACTGCCCGCCGCTAAGACGGGAGCCTTTAACAGTCTTTTTCAACTAAACGATCTGGTTGGGAAACTCAAGCCTTCAGGAGAGAGAGCGCTGGATAGCCGGAGTGGAGGAGTGGCTTGGTGGGCCGTATGGAAGGTGGGGATAAGGGCGAGTTTGCCGGTGGTGGAGGGGCGAGGGTTAGGCCCGGCTGGAGTGGTCAGCGAACAAGACGGATGAAGCAAGATGGAGTATTCAGTTAATGACCTAAAATCGAGTCGTGTGGAGTCTGAGATACACAGATCGGATCCATTAGCCAGATGAAAGGCTGAAAGGCTGGCTCTTCTCTCTCTCTCTCACCCTCTCTCTCACACACTCTCTCACACACTCTCTCACGCACTCTCTCACACACTCTCTCACCCACTCTCTCACACACTCTCTCACACACTCTCACTCTCTCACCCTCTCTCTCACACACTCTCTCACACACTCTCTCACACACTCTCTCACACACTCTCTCACACACTCTCTCACACACTCTCTCACACACTCTCTCACACACTCTCTCACACACTCTCTCACACACTCTCTCACACACTCTCTCACACACTCTCACACACTCTCTCACACACTCTCTCACACACTCTCTCACACACTCTCTCACACACTCTCTCACACACTCTCTCACACACTCTCTCACACACTCTCTCACACACTCTCTCACACACTCTCTCACACACTCTCTCACACACTCTCTCACACACTCTCTCACACACTCTCACTCTCTCTCTCTCACACACTCTCTCACACACTCTCACACACTCTCTCATCCTCTCTCTCACGCACTCTCACTCTCTCACCCTCTCTCTCACGCACTCTCACTCTCTCACCCTCTCTCTCTCACTCTCTCTCTCACCCTCTCTCTCTCACCTCTCTCTCTCTCACTCTCCTCTCTCACCCTCTCTCTCTCACACACTCTCTCTCTTTCTCTCTCTCCACGGGAGACCTCTGCATCACCTACTGCCTTCTATGTATAAGCTGTACTGGCGGCTGTCACTTCACGTCTGGCATTAATGAACTAGTCAATATACTTAACAATTGGACATGTAACAACATAACCCGTCACCACTAGGCCTATTATACGCATCCTTAGGACTAGTATATGTGTGCTATACACATTATTAGGCCTAATGCAGTACATATATGTGCTATACTGGGTCTGGGAGCACAGGTGGAGTGAAGGGTGCTGAGCGAGGCAGGTGGAAGGCTAAGAAAGCTATAGTCTCAGAGCACTCCGGACACGCTCCTTGCAAGACAAGGCGTCGACACGGAGACCTGTGTCACCTCCCGCCTGTGTCCCCTTCCTCGGCCACCACTGTACTGCTTCTGTGTCACGGAACTCTGGCACAGTCTGGCACCCAGGGGCCTGCATCCCGTGGCACCCAGCGACCTGCAGCCCGTGGCACCCAGCGACCTGCAGCCCGTGGCACCCAGCGACCTGCAGCCCGTGGCACCCAGCGACCTGCAGCCCGTGGCACCCAGCGACCTGCAGCCCGTGGCACCCAGCGACCTGCAGCCCGTGGCACCCAGGGGCCTGCATCCCGTGGCACCCAGCGACCTGCAGCCCGTGGCACCCAGCGACCTGCACCCCGTGGCACCCAGCGACCTGCAGCCCGTGGCACCCAGCGGCCTGCAGCCCGTGGCACCCAGCGACCTGCACCCCGTGGCACCCAGCGACCTGCAGCCCGTGGCACCCAGCGGCCTGCAGCCCGTGGCACCCAGCGACCTGCAGCCCGTGGTACCCAGCGACCTGCAGCCCGTGGCACCCAGCAACCTGCAGCCCGTGGCACCCAGCAACCTGCACCCCGTGGCACCCAGGGACCTGCACCCCGTGGCACCCAGCGACCTGCAGCCCGTGGCACCCAGCAACCTGCACCCCGTGGCACCCAGGGACCTGCACCCCGTGGCACCCAGCGACCTGCAGCCCGTGGCACCCAGCAACCTGCACCCCGTGGCACCCAGGGACCTGCACCCCGTGGCACCCAGCGACCTGCAGCCCGTGGCACCCAGCAACCTGCAGCCCGTGGTACCCAGCGACCTGCAGCCCGTGGCACCCAGGGACCTGCAGCCCGTGGCACCCAGCAACCTGCAGCCCGTGGCACCCAGCGACCTGCAGCCCGTGGCACCCAGCAACCTGCAGCCCGTGGCACCCAGGGGCCTGCATCCCGTGGCACCCAGCGACCTGCAGCCCGTGGCACCCAGGGATCTGCAGCCCGTGGCACCCAGCGACCTGCAGCCCGTGGCACCCAGCGACCTGCAGCCCGTGGCACCCAGGGGCCTGCATCCCGTGGCACCCAGGGGCCTGCATCCCGTGGCACCCAGGGGCCTGCATCCCGTGGCACCCAGGGGCCTGCATCCCGTGGCACCCAGCGACCTGCAGCCCGTGGCACCCAGCAACCTGCAGCCCGTGGCACCCAGCGACCTGCAGCCCGTGGCACCCAGCGACCTGCAGCCGTGGCACCCAGCGACCTGCAGCCCGTGGCACCCAGGGGCCTGCAGACCGTGGCACCCAGCAACCTGCAGCCCGTGGCACCCAGGGACCTGCACCCCGTGGCACCCAGCAACCTGCAGCCCGTGGCACCTAGCAACCTGCAGCCCGTGGCACCCAGCAACCTGCAGCCCGTGGCACCCAGCAACCTGCAGCCCGTGGCACCTAGCGACCTGCAAGCCTTGAGACACTTAAATTGTCTTTAAAAGGTATATCAGCAAGGTACAAGCGAGAAGCTGTCTGACCCGCCTAATATATGCCACCAGACCTCCTTCGGTGCTGGTAAATCTTGTGTTCTTGCACTCTACGCAATCATGGCAACAACCATGCTTGCAACTGAACAATCAAGGCCTCTGTTGAGAGGGACGCGAACTCTATAATGTCATTGTGTTCTTGTATAAAGCTGGAACATCAGGGGAGAAGTTTTCAGTTGTGGCGCATGGCGGAGAGCCCGTCGCGGCGTCTGCAAGAAAAACCCATTACTGCGAGAGAAAACGTAATGCTATCTGGGCCACCCAGGGGAGACTAAGGTAATGGTCACACTCGCCAGCGGGACACTACCAAACAGTATTATACAATGGGCTTTCCGTTTGTACCTTGGCTATCAATTACGTGCCACTCTAACGAAGGTGTATTTCTCCTGCTCCCCGTCTGTCTGACTCGCTGTCACTCACTTCTGTCTTATCCGGTGTGCTGTCTGTACCTGTCCCGCTGTAACTCTCGCTTCCCTCTTGACGCGGGTTCTGTCTGTGGGCTGTATCGCTGGAAGGTTAGGGCACCACAGCCAGATGTATCCGGCTCCTGACACAATTTATCAAACATTAGCATTACCATACACCCCCAGCGGCGGCTGCATACACCCCCACACACCTGGCTAACGTTACACCCCACACACACACACACACACACCCGGCTAACGTCACACCCCCCCCACACACACACACCCGGCTAACGTCACCCCCCCCCACACACACACACCCGGCTAACGTTACACACACACACCCGGCTAACGTCACACCCCCCCACACACACACACCCGGCTAACGTTACACCCCCCCCCCACACACACACCCAGCTAACGTTACACACACACACCCAGCTAACGTCACACCCCCCCACACACACACACCCGGCTAACGTTACACACACACACCCAGCTAACGTCACCCCCCCCCACACACACACACACCCGGCTAACGTTACACACACACACCCAGCTAACGTCACACCCCCCCCCCCCACACACACACCCGGCTAACGGGTGTGTGTGTGTGGGGGGTGTGACGTTACCACAGCCACTGTGGTGTGACAGCCACACCCCCCAAACACCCAGCTGCACCACACACCACCACCAGACAAAAGCCCCACCACCACCACCACCACCACCACCACCCACCACCAGACCTGCAGACAAAAGCCCCACCACCACCACCACCACCAGACAGACAAAAGCCCCACCACCGCCACCACCACCACCACACAGGTCCATTTTAGTAGCGGGGCACAAATCCTCACTACATGTCATCTCACCAACATTAACCACTTACACACCTACTCACAAGATGCTTACGCGTCTCGTACCTGTCGTCCATAGACCAGGGTCCGCCAGCGTTACCAGAACACGAGGAGAGACGCACCCTCCAAGGAGAAGCCCACAGAAGGTCCCTCTCGAGGGCTCTGAGAGTGACCTTTACCCACTTCGTCACTTCCTCGACCTGTGGCGTCTGTGGCGACGGGTTAATGGCAGTTTGTTGCCGTGTGGTAGTTGGGTATGAGTGAGGTGGTGTTTGTGGTGGCGGGTGTGGCAACACTGGAGGCTTACGGTGGTCGGGCAGTAAGCGGGTTACAGCGACCAATTTGGCAGTTTGGATAACGCGCTCGGTCAGGGAAGACTACTCGTGTTTTATTTATTCCTTCAACACCCTGCTGAGCCGGGCTTTCTCAGGCCACGGACGGTGGCTTGTGTGTCGGTGGCAGCCACGGACGGTGGCTTGTGTGTCGGTGGCAGCCACGGATGGTGGCTTGTGTGTCGGTGGCAGCCACGGACGGTGCTTGTGGTGTGTGTTGGTGGCCGCCACGGACGGTGCTTGTGGTGTGTGTCAGTGGCAGCCACGGACGGCGGCTTGTGTGTCGGTGGCAGCCACGGACGGTGGCTTGTGGTGTGTGTCAGTGGCAGCCACGGACGGTGGCTTGTGATGTGTGTCAGTGGCAGCCACGGACGGCGGCTTGTGTGTCGGTGGCAGCCACGGACGGTGGCTTGTGGTGTGTGTCGGTGGCAGCCACGGACGGTGGCTTGTGGTGTGTGTTGGTGGCAGCCACGGACGGTGCTTGTGGTGTGTGTCAGTGGCAGCCACGGACGGTGACTTGTGGTGTGTGTTGGTGGCAGCCACGGACGGTGCTTGTGGTGTGTGTCAGTGGCAGCCACGGACGGTGGCTTGTGGTGTGTGTTGGTGGCAGCCACGGACGGTGCTTGTGGTGTGTGTCAGTGGCAGCCACGGACGGTGGCTTGTGGTGTGTGTTGGTGGCAGCCACGGACGGTGGCTTGTGATGTGTGTCAGTGGCCGCCACGGACGGTGGCTTGTGGTGTGTGTTGGTGGCAGCCACGGACGGTGGCTTGTGTGTCGGTGGCAGCCACGGACGGTGGCTTGTGGTGTGTGTTGGTGGCCGCCACGGACGGTGGCTTGTGGTGTGTGTTGGTGGCAGCCACGGACGGTGCTTGTGGTGTGTGTTGGTGGCCGCCACGGACGGTGGCTTGTGATGTGTGTTGGTGGCCGCCACGGACGGTGCTTGTGGTGTGTGTCAGTGGCAGCCACGGACGGTGGCTTGTGGTGTGTGTTGGTGGCAGCCACGGACGGTGCTTGTGGTGTGTGTCAGTGGCAGCCACGGACGGTGGCTTGTGGTGTGTGTTGGTGGCAGCCACGGACGGTGCTTGTGGTGTGTGTCAGTGGCAGCCACGGACGGTGCTTGTGATGTGTGTCAGTGGCAGCCACGGACGGTGGCTTGTGTGTCGGTGGCCGCCACGGACGGTGGCTTGTGGTGTGTGTTGGTGGCAGCCACGGACGGTGGCTTGTGATGTGTGTTGGAGGCCGCCACGGACGGTGGCTTGTGTGTCGGTGGCCGCCACGGACGGTGGCTTGTGTGTCGGTGGCAGCCACGGACGGTGGTTGTGTGTCGGTGGCAGCCACGGACGGTGGTTGTGATGTGTGTTGGTGGCCGCCACGGACGGTGGCTTGTGTGTCGGTGGCCGCCACGGACGGTGCTTGTGATGTGTGTCAGTGGCCGCCACGGACGGTGCTTGTGGTGTGTGTCGGTGGCAGCCACGGACGGTGGCTTGTGATGTGTGAAGGTGGCAGCCACGGACGGTGGCTTGTGTGTCGGTGGCAGCCACGGAAGGTGGCTTGTGGTGTGTGTTGGTGGCAGCCACGGACGGTGGCTTGTGGTGTGTGTTGGTGGCAGCCACGGACGGTGGCTTGTGGTGTGTGTCGGTGGCAGCCACGGACGGTGGCTTGTGGTGTGTGTCGGTGGCAGCCACGGACGGTGGCTTGTGGTGTGTGTTGGTGGCAGCCACGGACGGTGGCTTGTGGTGTGTGTTGGTGGCAGCCACGGACGGTGGCTTGTGGTGTGTGTCGGTGGCAGCCACGGACGGTGGCTTGTGGTGTGTGTCGGTGGCAGCCACGTACGGTGGCTTGTGATGTGTGTCAGTGGCAGCCACGGACGGTGCTTGTGATGTGTGTCGGTGGCAGCCACGGACGGTGCTTGTGGTGTGTGTCGGTGGCAGCCACGGACGGTGGCTTGTGATGTGTGTCAGTGGCAGCCACGGACGGTGCTTGTGATGTGTGTCAGTGGCAGCCACGGACGGTGCTTGTGATGTGTGTCGGTGGCCGCCACGGACGGTGCTTGTGATGTGTGTCGGTGGCAGCCACGGACGGTGCTTGTGGTGTGTGTCGGTGGCAGCCACGGACGGTGGCTTGTGATGTGTGTCGGTGGCAGCCACGGACGGTGGCTTGTGTGTCGGTGGCAGCCACGGACGGTGGCTTGTGGTGTGTGTTGGTGGCAGCCACGGACGGTGGCTTGTGGTGTTTGTCGTTGGCAGCCACGGACGGTGCTTGTGGTGTGTGTCAGTGGCAGCCACGGACGGTGGCTTGTGATGTGTGTCGGTGGCAGCCACGGACGGTGCTTGTGGTGTGTGTCGGTGGCAGCCACGGACGGTGCTTGTGGAGTGTGTCGGTGGCAGCCACGGACGGTGCTTGTGGTGTGTGTCAGTGGCAGCCACGGACGGTGGCTTGTGATGTGTGTCAGTGGCAGCCACGGACGGTGGCTTGTGATGTGTGTCAGTGGCAGCCACGGACGGTGGCTTGTGATGTGTGTCAGTGGCAGCCACGGACGGTGCTTGTGGTGTGTGTCGGTGGCAGCCACGGACGGTAGCTTGTGATGTGTGTCAGTGGCAGCCACGGACGGTGGCTTGTGATGTGTGTCGGTGGCAGCCACGGACGGTGCTTGTGGTGTGTGTCGGTGGCAGCCACGGACGGTGCTTGTGGTGTGTGTCGGTGGCAGCCACGGACGGTGCTTGTGGTGTGTGTCGGTGGCCGCCACGGACGGTGGCTTGTGGTGTGTGTCAGTGGCAGCCACGGACGGTGGCTTGTGATGTGTGTCAGTGGCAGCCACGGACGGTGCTTGTGGTGTGTGTCGGTGGCAGCCACGGACGGTGGCTTGTGATGTGTGTCAGTGGCAGCCACGGACGGTGCTTGTGATGTGTGTCGGTGGCCGCCACGGACGGTGGCTTGTGATGTGTGTCGGTGGCAGCCACGGACGGTGCTTGTGGTGTGTGTCGGTGGCAGCCACGGACGGTGGCTTGTGATGTGTGTCAGTGGCAGCCACGGACGGTGCTTGTGATGTGTGTCGGTGGCCGCCACGGACGGTGCTTGTGATGTGTGTCGGTGGCCGCCACGGACGGTGGCTTGTGATGTGTGAAGGTGGCAGCCACGGACGGTGGCTTGTGATGTGTGAAGGTGGCAGCCACGGACGGTGGCTTGTGATGTGTGCCAGTGGCAGCCACGGACGGTGCTTGTGGTGTGTGTCGGTGGCAGCCACGGACGGTGCTTGTGGTGTGTGTCGGTGGCAGCCACGGACGGTGCTTGTGATGTGTGAAGGTGGCAGCCACGGACGGTGCTTGTGATGTGTGAAGGTGGCAGCCACGGACGGTGCT